TGTGTGTGTGTGTGTGTGTGTGTGTTGTTGTGTGTGTGTGTGTGTGTGTATGTGTGCATTGTGGGCGTGTGTGTGGTATGTGTGCATGTTGTGGGGCGTGTGTGTGGTTGAGCCCACTACATGGTGCCTGTGGTGAAGGGGCAGGCGGCAGGTGCTGTCTCGCTGGATAGGGGTGCAAACCCAGCATGTCAGTTGGAGCATGGTGTGGCATTACTGCGCTGCATCCATCCATAGGCAGGAAATGTATAGTAGTTTTAAAAATACATGCTGTTGTATTGTGTCAGGACGGCCCATAGGCAAACATTGGGGAAGGCTTTTCCCACTATTGTGATATAAATAATGCTCATATTACCAAGAAGTAGTTTTCCATTTATTAGCTATCGCCCGCTGTAGGGCTCCAGAGAGATATTGTCTGCTGAGATGTCTTTCGGGGGCCAAATCATTTTATGTTTCCTGTGGAGTCAATTCCCACAGGCTGATGCAATGAAGCCAAAGGCATTTTCAAAGGAATACCAATTTGGGATCTGTCAACTCCTGCCTGCTAGTGAACCGTTATAGGCCTAAACCCCCGCCTCCCCCTCTCTTCCCTTACTCCAGCTGTGTCCACTTCTCCCTCGTCTGTCAGCGTGTATACCCCCTTTTCCATCCCAAAGTCCCAAACTGATTTTCCTTTATGCATATGTACGAGTAGCCTACTAGCCAATGAAATGTGTGCAGCATATACAGCAAAGATAGCAGATTTTCAATGTCTGTCTGGAAGTTGTTGCTGTATAAAATGTGTCAATAAGCAATTCTGTTTCTAATTTCTGGCAGAATGTTTTAGATAAAACATGTAGCACCAGCACTGCAGTCCAACGCGCCAGCATCTATTTTATGTTGAGGCAGTTGAAGAAGCAGTGAGCTGTCTCGCGTAAGTGTGAATATCTGAATGTGTTCATTAGCTAAAATTATTGACTAATAACTATGGAAAGGGGGGTCAGAGATAGAAATCCATCTCATCCTGTCTCTGCCAATTTCGCATGCCCATATAGCTGCCCTTGATCTACCCTGAGATCCGATGCTAGTATTTTATCCAGATGCATACCACCACACTCTTTCCAATCACTTTAATTTTGGCAATGCCTTGCTCATAGCAGGCCTCATCAAGCTTTCCTGCTCTCCTCTGTGGGGGGCCTCTCAGCCCTCCTGACCTTACGCTGTTACCGCATTTTAATGTTGTTCGCTTGCCATCCAGCTGTTATCTGTTTCTTAGTCCTGTGTCAGTGTGCCAGGACGGTGGGCATGAGATCAGATGGCCCTTTTTCACAGCTCCCAGTTCATATTCAGCAGTGCCAGAGGGGGAAAGGGGCAAGTGGAAGGAAGACAGAGAGAGAGAGGAGCCCTTATATTTCCGGCACACTCCACATGAGATATTTTTAGGGCATGCGATACAACCACTATGGTAGCTAACTCTCATGGAGATTCACACCCCATGGGCTTGACAGGAAGGCATCCATTTCCTGACAACAACCGCAAACCATCCACACATGCAGCACATACATCCTCTGTGTGTGAACTTTGTTGAGAGTGTTGAGGTTTTTAAGACAGTTAAATACATACATGTATTCACATAAAGTATTAGCACAACATGATATCTTCCAGTTTTTAGTGTTTTGGAAAAAGCCAAAATGACACAAATTCCTTGATCCCCCCACTAAGCTGCTGCCAGTTGTAGAATCTAAAATGCTACAATTAAACTGTAAGCAAAGCACTCCACTTTCCCTAGAGAGATTTCCCTACCACATCTGTAAATACTTTCTAGCTATAATTTCACAAGAACCATGACTAACCCTACAAAATCCACTTAAGAGTCAACATTAACTATCTGAAAGTTCATTTTCTTCTCAATGAACTACCACAGTTTTAACTGGTGTCTACGGTGAAGAACACATATTCGCTCTTAAAAATCAATTAATGTAGAACAGTATATGAAGAAAAAAAACTTTTTTTTATTGATAAGTGCACATGGGATTCTGCATGTAGTATTACATTAACACCCTCCTTACCCAAGTCTTCTGCATTGTTTTCAGCCTCCACCATTGCTGAGAACGGGAGAAAAACATGCCTGAAGCTCAAAGTTTTCGTCCGACCATCAAGTAAGTGTTTGCATGCAACACAAAGCTTTGTAATAGAGCTTGTTGAAGTACACATTTTGGATTGAAAATCAAAACAATTTATGTCTACCTCTCTGGTTACCACACTTCCCCCCCAATTACCTTTTGCTCACTTTCCAACATATCCCTTTCATTTATCACAAAACTGCTTTACTTGCTAAGAAAATGTTATTTTTTTAAAAACATGAAAAGGATGATAGATGATCACATCAAATGAAATCCAGGTCCCTTCATACCTCATCTGAATGTTGCCATGAGCTTTGTTGCTTGGGATGTTTAATTTCAGGGCCGAGAGGGGGGCTTCAAATGTCACTAACCTATTTGGCATAAACCTCTAATGATCTCTCATTCTCCCTATTTTCTGTTATAGACAGCTGTGTGAAAACTATAGGCGTACATGACCGCGTTTTTGATGTAAACGACAAAGTAGACAATACATTAGAACCACGAGGTTAGTATGGCTTCCTGCTTTTTTGATTGTCTTCAGTATGACCTCCATACATCTGTACATGTGTCTCTTGTTCTGTGCCTGTTTCCTTTTATGCTGTTTGTCTGGAAGCTGATCTGTCCTTCCACACCCCTGCCTGATGCTTCTCTTACACTGATTCTTCTCCAGAGTACCAAAGTTGTGTCATGCTACTGTTGCTTGCATATTATATATATATTATGTTGAAATTATGAACAAAAAGAATATATATATACATATATAGTTTATATATGACTCATAGATGTGCATGTTTCACACTTTTCACAAATTCACACGTCATCACACTGCATGTCGTGCTCCATATCATCAGTCTTTAATTTTATTACTAGACTTTTAACTACTATCATTCTGCCCTAACACCTCAAAATCAATAAATATAATCATTTGAATGTTATGTATGCACATGCACATACATTTACATATCAAAGATATATTTGGAACATTTTAATGTTCTGTTTCCTCTCCTCACTGAGCTGCTGTTTCGCTCTGCAGCACAGCATTTTTATGTCTTCATACATGAGCCTACCCCAGTCACTGTAACACTCCACATCACCCACATGCTGATTTCTCATCCCCAGCACCAGCTCACCCCAAGGTCTGAAACAACACAAAGACCGCCCCACTGGGAATGTATAACAAACTGTCAAATAAGGGGACATTAGTCATTCAAAAAAAACATTTTTTTTATGGATATTATTAATTTGAAAATGAGATCTATTGCATTCTAAAATGTTTTTTCTTAACTCATAAACTGGCATCTCAATGGTACACACAAACATACACAAGGCCAGATCCTCAGACATTTGTATTGCCCACCTGCCTCTCTTCCTGCTGGATTTTCTATCAGCCCATTTGCTCGCCTTATTATCCTGCCTGCATGTTTGATGGCTGCCTCTCACCTTGCATGCTTCTTTTATTTCATCCCCCTATTACTCTCTCCAAAGGAGGGAAATTAAAACATTCATTTGCCATCTATTGTCGCCACGTCCCTCCACCCCCCCCCGCACCGCCCACACACACACACCACACACACAACACACACACACACACACACACACACACACACACACACACACACACACACATACATGTGTAAAGTTATGTAACTGTCCTGTCCTCTGTTCTGTCTATCTGTCCTTTGCATGGTTCAGCTACTTTCCCATGGTGCAACGGGCACATGGCTGCTCACAGATATTGATGCCACTGCCAGACAGACACAAGAGGCAGCTCAACTGGGAGATGAATTAAAAAATGTTTCTGATGACATTCGAAGCATGATATAGCAACCGAAGTTCATATGGCAACTCAGACTTCACTATTACTTTACACTGTTATGTACATGAGCCCAAACATCTCAGTCTCCAATAATAACTGTTATTCATTTCAACATAGGGTCAACTTATGGATTTGTACACCACAATAGAATACAATAATTGTATGTTGTCTTCTGTCTGTAATGCACTGCTGCAAAAGAGCAGTTTGTACCAGAAATAGCAACTCACAGTGTTTCTTTTTTCTCATCCTTTAGACGATACCAGCCACGAACCGGCTGAGCCTTCCCGAAGTGACGAAACAAATGCTGCGCCCTACCTGCAGAAAACATGTCCACTCCTGGCTTTGTTGCTGGTCTGCCTACCAGCACTCTTCACTTTATAGCGCCTCCCTCTGTCCCAGAGGGCATTAACACCTAGCGTGGCCTGAATCTGCCCAAGGCTGCAGGGAAAGGGGTGGGATTTGGGTGGAGTGTGTTTGCTTGATTGGGCATCAGAGCAGGCTTCTCAAGGAACCCTCTATTTTTTTCAGAAATATATTTAAGTGGTCTTTCTCCGTCTGTGAGTAAAAAAAAGTTGATGTTGGAAGTGGGAGAGACAGTTCCCCCTCTTCAACCTTCAACTCAGATGCCAAATCCCGTTTTTTGACACTTAGTGATTCTTATTTTCCCGTAACTTTTTTGTGACATCCCTTTACATCATGTTTATGTCATTGCAGCACAGATGTTTACTCACACACACATAGACATATACAGCACACACATGCTTAGAGAGTCAAACGCAAAAATCTGCTAGTCAATAGCAGTAGGGTTTTAGTTGTATACAGTAGCAGCATTACACAGTAGGACAATTAAGATTCTAGGACTTAGAAAGGACTGTATATACACAAGTAAACAGTTGTCCCGAGACCTCTCAAGAAGCCTTTCAGAAAATATTTAGATTAGTTCTGCTGGGTCATAGGAAAGCATGTTGTTGCGCCTCCATTTTACTGCCAAGTGCAGTACAAATCTGAAAGAAGGAAAAGAAGACGGTTTAAAGCAGATGTTAGACTAGAAACTACAGCACTGAGAAATACATACATAGCATGCACCTTAACCAGACTTTCCTGGTTTGAAAAATAGTGTCCAATCTTCTCTCGAATACAGAGTGTGCGTATTAGGTGGATAAGCTACTTAGAGCTTGAGTGAGTGGGTGTAAAACCCATGGAACCATGAGGCAACATTTTCTTGTCCTCCTTTTGTAAAGCACGCTGACCTGCTCAATAAAACACCTCTCAAAGCATTTGGTTCACTCCATCTCACAAAACAGCTAAATTGAAACTTTCTCTCCAGACACTTTATGGACTGCTTTAAGATCGAGGATCGATATCTTTTGAAAGTTGATCACACAGTTTCACGGCAAGAGTCACAGTTATTTTATGCAATGTTTACTGAGCTGGGCAGCAACTGTTCTCTCTCTTCCATTTGAGTATTAGTCGATATTAACACGCCCATAAACATTTGCATCCACAGCTTTTTTTTCTCTGATTCTGATTGTTTTAAAATGATTCACTGCTAAATTGAACACTTTTTTTTCTAAACCATTAAGTTATTTTACTTTGCCACTTGTGTCAAACATTGAAGACACTGTAAACTATGTATTTAGTATTTTATTTTCCACTTAAATGAGAAAAACAGAGGTCATGGGAAAGTGTTTGAAAAGACACTTCAGTGCCATACTCATGTCTTTGTCCCTAAAACATAACCACAGCTTTGACCAGCTCATCAAAAATTAGTTAGCTTGTTCTCACATTCAGTTTTATTGAAGCAGTTAGCGCAGCGTTTACAGGACTGATGCCTAGCTCCAATTAGTTGAAAACACATTGTGTGATCAGAGAAACTGTCAATTTAATTCAAGGCAATGCACAGCTCTATTTAGTCTAGCCAGGTTTATGTTAGCACTTACATTCAAATTAATTCACTGTGTTATAATGATATTCCGCTTCCTTCAGCTCCCACAGATGCACATGGCGAGTTAGCATAATGAAAGCTATTATGTCTTTTTTCAAACGAGAGGGACTTGTTTCTTTGCTTTCTAAGAAGTATGGACAGAGAAATTAACTCCGCTGAAGCCGACTTTCTTTCAGTCAGGTTTTTGTATGAGAAATAGGGCACCAATTGGTTTGGAAAGACAGATAGAAAGAGAGAAGTAGAGCAAAAAAAGGAAGAGCACAGGAGCAATTGCATGTCCACCTTCAGCTCCTAGTGTTACTGGTTTAAGTGACTCTTTAATGAGGTTCAAAATGACAGGCATGTGCACCCCATGTTGTGGCAAGGGGAGTTATTTCTGGTATTCAAAATAGATGGTGGAAGGCTTGGGGGGTCTCGGGAGGGTGGTGTAGATTTCCACCATGGGGGGTTTTAAAGCACCAATGACCTTGCAGTCTGAGAGAATTGGTGAGTGAAGGAGAGAATTAAAGAGAGACACACACACGAAGAGATAGAAAAGAAATGGGAGGTAGCGGAAGGTAGTGTGACTAGAGTGCCTAACAAAACAAAACAAGACAAAACAACTTAAAATCCATGCAACACTACTGGAAAAAAAAAACCCTACCTGATTCAATGACAAACTTACTGTTCAATGTCATTTTATTATTGCCGTTTCATTTTTATGGCTGCCTTTTTTTCTGCTTTTTTTTACCCCCGGAAGGAATGCCTTTGCCTTTAGCCATTTGTTTTTTTTTGCTCTATGGTAACAATGCTATTACAGCAGAATAGCAGCTCAGCTATGGGGGGTAATATGAGACGAGGCCATTTAATGAGGTACTAATTTTCAGGAGAACACCACAGGGAATGAGCACTGCATAAGATTCAAAATGGAGGCTTGTCAGCAGATTAACACTAGACTTTTATCAGAAACCAGCTTCAATTGTACTCTCTTATAGTTACCAATACTACTATTTGTCATTATTGCTATTATTACCATGGTTTATTCTGTACACACCTTAACCTGGGAAATGAGGATCAACTTATAAACTGGATACTGTGTATCCTGAGGTAGTCGACCATAAAACAATGTAGTGTTAGGTTAGTATCTGTTTTGTACCTTTCTGGAGGACAAAAGAAAAAAATGAGATACATCATTGTTAAAACTGTATAATTATTATTATTGTTATGATGATGATGATTATGACTATTATTATTAGAAAAACTTCTTGATGTAAATAGTGTTTGATATTAAAGTATTAATTTGGTTCTTATGTCTTTTCTAAAAAATGAATACGGTATTATCTCTGGGTTTTGCGGAGTGTGTACTGTCTCAAACAATGCATTGTGTGCTTTGATCCTCAATGCCTAATGAAACTTTGAGCTAATATGAAGGGGAAACCTGTGGGAGCTGTACACCAGTGTACAGAAGGCTGGACATTAGCCAAATGAGTGGCTCACCTGTTACATGTTTCAAACCAGTCACCAACCTTCACCATCTCTTCACGTAAGGATCTTGCCTTGGAAAGAAACACTTGGGTCTTAATGGACGGCTTATTTGTACTTTTTTGCCTTCAGTGTTCGAAAGCATGTTGGTCAGCTACAAGATCTGCCATGAGTGGACTGTTTGCTTTTTAATGGAAGGATCTTGCCAGTTTCATTATGTGGCATGCGCATGAACTTAATGACATGTAAAAAAAAACTTAAAAAAAACAGAACAAAAAAAAGTTTTAAAAAGATAGTTTTTCTTTTGCTCTTATTTTCTTTTTCTTTAAGATGTGTTAGATTTTCTGATCACTTTCATGTTGTGTGTTTTTTGCATCCCCATTTGAGTGATGTCATTAAGCTGTGTAGTGACAGATGACAAATGTACATAACACAAACCATTGTTGTGAAGTTACAGTGGG